CCAGCATTTTACTTAACAACGGATGATTGTTTGTCTCCCCACACCTTCGCATGTGGCTTTTTCCCCTACCTATAATGCTTAATCCTAATAATTCTGAAAGCACCCATGGTCTTCCTGAGCATCATCTCCCTCATTGCTGAAATCCACCCAACGTTTAGAAAGTGTATTTTACCCAGTTTAGGTAACTTCATAAAATAAAAATCCCACAACCCATTTTGCACGCTTCTTTGAAAACTGAGAAAATGTGTATGTAACAGGGAACTGGCACAGAATAGAAGTGAATTAGCACCCTTTATCACACACTACACTGAGTAAATTACTTGTCTGTCTCACTAGAGCAGGGTTTCTCAACCCCAACTCTACTGACATTTTGGGCCAAATAGTTCTTTGTTACAGGGGGCTGTCCTGTGCATTGTAGAATGTTTAGCAGTATCTATAGGCTCTATCAACTAGATACCGGTAGCATCCCTCCAGCTGTAATAACCAAAAATGTCTGCAAACATTACGAAATTTCCCCTGAGAGAGAAATCACGCCTGGCAGGGAATCATTATTCTATACCATAAGCAACTCAAGGGCAGAAACTATGACTCATTATTATATCTCCAGGTATCTAGGACAAAAGCCAGCACACAGTAGGTGTTCAATAAATGCATATAAGAACTACAATCCTGACTTCTAGTACCAGAGTATTTTTAACTCTTTTCACAATGTATGTAAATGTCTATTTTACAGCTTCCTTCATTCAACATTGCATTGTGAGATTTATCTATGTTGCAGTATGTTGTGGTAGTTCATTTCCACTTTTACATATGTCCTTTTTTTTTTAATATATTATGCTTTCTTCAATGTTCTATTGTTTGGACATGTGGGTTACTTCCAATCTATAGTTGGTATGGGCAGTGTCATCAAGAGTAATCTTTTATATGTGTCTTGGTTACAAGTCAAGATGGTAGTTTTGTTGGAGGAGGAGGAAGCGGAGTGACTGGAACGGGACACCACGAGGGTTCTTGGGGCGCAAACATTCCTCTTGACCTGTATAGTGATTGCACATGTGTGTCCATTTTGTGATAATTCACTGAACTCTCCATTTACAGTCTTGAACACAGAATTCCTGTGATATTTCATTTAAAGTTTTTTTTAAAATCACTAAGAACAAGACAGTTGTGCAAATAGAGGGGGGAAAAAAAGCCAGAGATTCTGGTAAATACCATACAATGCAAATATTCATGTGAAAAATAAATGAACCCATCCAAGAAAATCACATTAAACAAAAAATGCATTTTGGTACTTTCTGTCAATAGCACCCATTGTTAGTGAGATGCAAGGGAAAAGGTCTATTAGTTAAGATGTGACCTGGCACACCACAACTTTTCTAGAAGGCCATTTGACAATATATAATCAAAAGTCTATAAAATATGTAATATGGTTACATGTCAATCTTATCTCAAAAAAGCTGGAAAGCTGTATTATGTTTAAAGCTTATCTTATGCAAATAAATCAAACAAATGTATAAAACTACATGTATATGAGAGAGACTATATGAGGATATTCTTCATATAACTGCTTAGTGAAAAACTAAAGACAAGTTTTAATAGGTAATTAAATATATTAGGATATATCCACTCAGTACGATATATGCAGCCATATTTAATGACATTAACAAAATATTCATAATCCAATAAGTTAAAACAAGTCACAAAGCAGAACAATGATATATTTGTGAGGGAAGAAAGACATAAACACATGTAGAAACAAATGGTTGAGAATAGAAGCCAAAATGTTAACTTTTGTTATCTTTGAGTGGTTTTTTTATTTTTGCTTTTGCCTTTTAAGGTCTTTGTGCTTTCTAAGCTTTCTACAAGGAATATTTATAACAATGATAATAACAAAGGAATAAAGCTTTTTCACGTAAATGAGAAAAAAATGAGAAATCTCACCTAATAGAATCAGACTATGACAGCTCTTAGTGTCCATTAGTGTATGTATTTTTCATAATATGCTTCAAGTGATTAGTGAATTGGTTTTCACAGGCACGTCTGATTTTATAAGCTTTACACTGTTTGCACCAAGAAGCCAACCCTAGCCAGTACTTCATAGAGCAAGTCTTCCTTCAGAAGAAGGATGTTGTTTTGCAACTGAAATATTACTCTAGTGATTAGAAAACAGATGAGCAAGTTTCATTTCTAGAAATTTTTGTAAAGCTACTGTTGCTTGAAGTATAATTTTCTTCTCTAGGATAAAACAATAATCTCTTAAGAAAGTGAGTAGGATTTCAATTTCTAAGTCTTTGACAGCTTTTCCCATTTAACTCTGCCTCCTCTCTTCTGAATAGAATATAAACAACAATGGAATATATGCAAAGTACAGGGGGAAAGCAAATAATTAGTATGAAAGAACCACAGCCATCCAAAGTCACAAACTGAGAATTAAGAAATAATTTTCCACTTTCACTCTGATTCACAAGAGTCTTGTTAATAAGCCCTTCCTGCTTGTACCAGAGAAGTAATGATTTCCTCTAGGTCAGTAAACTGCAACATTGATCGCATTCACTTAAATAAGCATAACCAGAGCAAACCCGTTCTCACACATAAATTCACTTTTCAAGGCTGATTTACAGTCACTGCTCTCCTTTCTGAGAACAGGGGTAAACTTAGCCAAAAGCGTGTTTGTGAAACCTTGCCTGGACGTATCCCCAAAGATGACCCTGTTGAAATGCTACGCAGTACTGCTGAGGTGGCTATCCATACCAGTTTGCCTGGGACAGTCCTGGTTTACACCAGTGTCCCTGCATAGTTATTAATAGCTGCCCCTTTGACTTGCCAATATCCTAGGGCTGAGTAACACATGATATAGCCAGCCTACTGTCCATACACAGGATGCATAATGCTAGCCTTAGAACTTGGATTAAGTGCTTGGAGACATCTACACTCTAACCTCTTCTTCCTTGGGCACTGAAGGTGTGGAATGAAAAATGCACCGAATATTCACAGACTCTGATCCCAAAACACAGCCCCCCAACCAGGTGGTCTAACACAATCTGAATAGAAATCCATTTCAAGGTAGAGATATCCTTCCATGAAAGTTAAAAAAATTATGGGAGACAATTTACTAGATAGCCCCCAAATCACACAACTTAAAGACAAGCTACGTATTTGCAAAAATTAGCCAGCCTGTTGATACATGGTGGGAGTTCTGACTCTGTAATTATTAATCCAAACAATTCCATGAAATAGAAGTAGATCCGAATTTCCTCTGAGCCTATCTATTTCTATCTCTGTTAATGGCAAAACTAATCACCTTGAAACCTTAGGATCAAATATGATTCTCTCTTTTCACTCTTTGTAATTAGTTACTAAGTCCCATTGATTCTATTTTTTTTTTTTAAGCTCTGGAATTCATTACCCACAAACCTTTCATCAGAACATGATTTCTAACTGCAGTTGTTATAGGAGCCTTCCTCTACTCTCTATCCTCCTCCAATTCATCTCCCCCGCTGCTGCTACAAACATCCTCAACAGAGCAACCTCCTCAGTCCTTCCCTGCTCAAAACCGGCAGGTAATATCCAGACTCCTCAGCCAGGCACTCAAGACTTTTATCAGTTCTCGGTTTCAACCACACCTCCTCCTAAGCTCACACGATTCAGTGGTTCTCATCCAGGGATAGTACTTCTTCACTAGGAGGTGTTCAAAACTGTTTGGGGACATTTTTACTTGTCTCAGTGACTTGTGGGCACAAAGGGCCTTTCATAGGCAGGGACTGAGGATCCTAAGTGTTCAGCAACATAGATTAAATTGCCTTGTCAAATAGCACCCTAGATGAGACTTGTTCCCAAGCACATTATTTTTAGACATGTGTGGTTCCTTCTTTCTAGAATCTATTAATTCTGCCTCCTTCCAAAATAATATTGTCCCTGGATGATTCCATTCATTTAAAGTTGTTTTTCTTATCTAAAGACCTTGGTTGGTTTCATAACTATGTATACAGTAGTAATGGGAGATAATTATTCCCATAACACACTGCTTGCCTGCTGACATAGCTTAGTGTACTGAATTACGGTTAAACTTCTTATCCATTTCTGATTTCACTCCATGTCGTTTTTTTCCCTATCCCCTCTGTGCCCTAACATTTAAGCTCCTTAAAGAAAGGGATGTTTCTGTGGTATCTTTTTTTTTTTAAACTCCAATTTCTACTGTTTACCTAAAAGTTGAGAATCACTGTATAAGTGATTTTTGGATTAAAGGATAAAAATCATTCCTGCATGCCTATGTACAGAATGCCATTCCTTAATAACTTTTGTGTAGTTGTTAAACTTAGAACTCAGGGGGCGCCTGGGTGGCTCAGTTGGTTAAGCAACTGCCTTCGGCTCAGATCATGATGCTGGATTCCCTGGATCGAGTACCGCATCAGGCTCCCTGCTCAGCAGGGAGTCTGCTTCTCCCTCTGACCCTCCCCCCTCTCATGCTCTCTCTCTCTAATAAATAAAAATCTAAAAAAAAATAAAATAAACTTAGAACTCAGAATACTCAAAGGTAAACTAAATATTTTAGTTATATCTTTTATCAGTAATGGTGCTTCATAGAACCTTAAATGTATTAAATTCTAGATTATACTAAACAAGGGATTACAAACTCAGATTAAAAAAAAAAAAAAGGAAAAAGAAGCCATAGACACTGCAGTGAAGTAGAGAGAATGTACCCAATATAAAGATATTTAAATTCCTCGGGGATTTTTTGGGGGCGAGTGCTAAGTATGCTTTATAAAGATCTGCTAACAAGCTTGTTTCGAGATGCTTGTTATGCAAAAAAAAATAATCTTTTTAAAAATGTGCAATATACTTCTAGACAAAAGATGAAAATGCTCTTATCCTACCTCACTCAAGTTTAAGCTTAGACTATTTCTGTAGCATATTAAAAATAAACTTTCTTTCATTCAAAATTTTAAACTTAGCTCCCCTAAGTTGCATAAACAGTAAATAGTAGACAAAAGTCAACTGCTCACTTGCACATCTGTTCATATCTGGGGCTCGGTGTCCATAGTAACCGGATGGACAGGAATGCAGGCACTCTCCATACTGGCGCATGCCTTCTCTTCGAAGAAAGAAGAACAACTTCTGTTGACATCGGCTGCACCCATTGTCCTTTGAACAAGACAAACAACCCTTGCAAATGGGATTTGATACATAACTAGCTGTAAAAGAAAAACACAAAACACAGGTTTAAATAGGAGTATGATCAAGACGTCCGGTCAATAAAACATGGTGAGAAGACAAGTGTCTCTTGTCCTACTTGAATCATAGAAATGCTACACAAAATATTCCCTCACCCCCCGCCCACAAAAAAGGCTAATACACAACCAAACTTAGAAACAAAGAGGAAACTCAGAGTTCAAACTGAAACTGAATGGCTCACAGAGTTAGACCAGACAGAGGCAGACCTCACGGCAGGGTCTTGAATCCAGGCCAAGAAATATGCTTATGTAGACCAGACACTTGGGTCTCTTTATGGAGGATGGAGTAGTGAGGGCTGTTTGCACATGCAACAAATACTTGAAGCCCCCACCCCAATTTGCCAGAGATGAAGACTTCAACCACAGATTAGGGGCATAGGGTGGTTGAGCCCAGTAGAGAGAAAATATAATCCATGAGACACAAAAACCCCAAATCTGCAATACATCCAAGTATGAGATCCAAGTTCAAATTATCAGTGTAGTATCAAATCACTAAATCAAGATACTAACATAAAAACATTGATCCACGAAAACCCATGAAGAAAAAAGCATGAAACTGCCCTAAGGAAATGTTCTACAATCCTGAGACCTGGAACTTGCATGGAAAGCCACCTTCACACCAAAATGAACCAATCACAGGGATAAGCAAACCTCCATGAGGAAGAGTCACTAGTCTCAGAGAGAGAGATCTCACACCTAAAGAGTCAGAAGTAACAGAACAATCTGAAAGAATCTTAAAAATGATTATCTTCAGAATACTTGAAGAGATAAAATAAGGACTAGAAATCACAAGGGAAGAAGCAGTATCATCTAATGACTGTGCAATAAGAAAATTCTAAAACTGAAAAAAAATTCTATGAACAAATTGAATAGAAGGTATTTAACTAGAAAACAGGTTTAAATAACTGTAGCACCAAACACAGTAAAGATGAAAATGTGGAAAAGGTAAGAAGCATGTAAAAAGAAAAAATTTTAATATATGATTATTAGGTGCTACAGAATCAAAAAATAGCATGAGTAAGACATATTATCCAAAGAGATCATGGCTACTCAAGTTCCAGATTTAAAGAAAGAGAAGAATTCTTTAGATGAAAACTTCAGAGATCTGAGTAGATCAATAAAAACAAGCCTGCATCTGAACACAGCAGATTTATACTAAAGAATGAAGTCAAACCAGAGAGAAACATCACCTAGAAAGAAATTTTTACCTCTACCAGACATCTCATCAGAAATAAGGTGTGTTAGACAGAATATTAGCTTCAACTTGCTAAGGGAAAATTATCAAACTATAATTCGATAAGTAATTAAATGATATTTTAAGAATGAGGGCAAAATAAAGGTATTTTCAGCCAAAATAAAGTCAAGGAACTTATTAATCACTCACCAAAAGAATAAACTGCATATATGGGAGAAAATAAAATGGAACACAGAAGGAAGTAGAATGTAATAAGCAATAGTGATCAAATCAACTGAGAAACAGGTTTGTTTGTCTATGAAAAGTATCAGTTTTTAAGAAGTATTCATTTCCAAGGTTTAAAAATAATACATATTTTATATTTAACAGCAGTAACATGGAAGACTCAAGGAGGGAAAACAAAGTTAAAGCATTCAAATTTTCTGTATTTTGAATGAGGAAGAACAATATATATTAAACTTCCTTAAGTTAAATGTACTTGCTAAAATTCTTGGTAGCAACCACAGAAACAGTAATGTATAACTTCTAAACCACTGACAACCACAGATATAGTAAATGTATAAAATAGGAATAGGAGGTAACAGGATCCAAATGTCTATGACCAGGAAAATGGATAAATTATCATATATTTTAATGATAAAAAATTAAACTGGCACATACCTAAACAAGAATGGAATGAAACTTATAGACATTATATTGAACAAAGGAAGCCAGACCCCTCCCCCCCAAAAAGTATGCTCAGTATAATTCTATTTATACTGATGTCAACGACATGTGAAGCTAATCTGTGGTGACAGAAATTAGAACATTAAATGCCTTTGAGGGTTTGGGACTGACTGGAAAGAGGTACACAGGAAATTTTGGCAGGTCTATTTGTTTCCTAGGGCTCCCTTAACAAATGACCACAATGTGGAGGCTTACACACCAGGAATTCATTCTCTCAGTTCTTTGGACTGAAGTCTGAAATCAAGGTGTCCACAGGGCCATGTTTCCTCTGAAGGCCCTAGGGAAGAAACCTCCTCTCCCCTTCTGGTGGCCCCAGATGTTCCTTAGCTTGTGGCAGTGTATCTCCAATCTGACTCCATCTTCTCTATATACCTCTGTGTATCCTGTCTCTCATAAAGACACGGTCTTTGGATTTAGGGCCCACCTTAATCCAGTAGGATCTCCTATCCATCCTTACCTTAATTTTATTTGCAAAGCCCCTATTTTCAAATAAGGTCACACTCTGAGGCTCCAGGTGGACACGAATGGGAGCAGGCGTTAGGGGTGCAGACCCTAGTTAACCCACTATAGGAGGTGATGGAAATATTCTAACCTTGACTGGATATTGGATATACAATGTATCTATTTGCAAAACTTACCAAGCTGTACATTTTTTAAAAGTAATGTGCATAACTTATGAGTAAATTGTATCTGAATTTTTTAAAAAAGAAAAAATGGGTAGGAAGGCCATACACTAACTTCAGGATAATGTAATTGTCACTTGTGATTACATCTCTTTTGAAGATTCTTTAAATTATAGTGGATGCTCACCCATATGATATGCTTTACTTTTATGGTTTGTGGGGTTTAATTTTTAAATTTTATGTTTAAATTTTTATTGTTATGTTAATCACCATACATTACATTAGTTCCCCCCTCCCCCCGTGGAAAATTTTTTTCATCATTCAATTTTTTATTGTTAATCACCATACATCATTAGTTTTTGATGTAGTGATCCACGATTCATTGTTTTTGTATAACACCCAGTGCTCCACTCACTTTGTGCCCTCTTTAATACCCATCACCAGGCTAACCCATCCCCCCACCCCCCTCCCCTCTAGAACCCCCAGTTTGTATATACCACATCTTTTTTATCCATTCATCTGTCAATAGACATCTTGGCTCTTGTTTGGCTGTTGTGGACACTGCTACTATAAACATCGGGGTGCATGTACCCCTTTAGATCCCTACATTTGTATCTTTGGGGTAAATACCCAGTAGTGCAATTGCTGGGTCGTAGGGCAGCTCTATTTTCAACTTTTTGAGGAATCTCCATACTGTTTTCCAGAGTGGTTGCACCAGCTTGCACTCCCACCAACAGTGTAGGAGGGCTCCCCTTTCTCCGCATCCCCACCAGCATCTGTCATTTCCTGACTTGTTAGTGGGTTGTTTTTTTTTTTTTAATAACAGAAATATCCCATTGGAAGGACAGGTGGGATAATACGAAGTAAACATTGAAATACCATCTGAAAATGGATATATGAACCTTACAGAGTTTACTACATCTAATGATAAAAAGAGTAATTTCAAAGAAAATACTGTTTCCAGCCCTGGCATAAAATTAAAAATGATACAATCTGACATCCCAATATAATTTCTAAAAATATGAAAAATTCATGTAACTTTATGACTTGCTTGGTATAGTAATAAGATATATTAGGTCACACTGAATTTTTTTATTTATTTAAAGATTTTTTTTATTTATTTATTTGAGAGAGAGAGAATGAGAGAGAGCACGAGAGGGAAGAGGGTCAGAGGGAGAAGCAGACTCCCCGCTGAGCAGGGAGCCCGATGTGGGACTCGATCCTGGAACTCCAGGATCATGACCTGAGTCGAAGGCAGTCGCTTAACCAACTGAGCCACCCAGGCGCCCGACTTTTTTTTTTTTTTTTTAAAGATTTTATTTATTTATTTGACAGAGACACAGTGAGAGAAGGAACACAAGCAGGGGGAGTGGAAGAGAGAGAAGCCGGCTTCCCACAGAGCAGAGGGCCCGATGCGGGGCTCGATCCCAGGACCCTGGGATCATGACCTGAGCTGAAGGCAGATGCTTAATGACTGAGCCACCCAGGTGCCCCCACACTGACTTCATTTTATCAGGCTAACCCACAGAAGAAATAAGAGAAGGAAGAGAAGACTCAGCAATTATTGAAATTTCTAGCTTTGAGGCCTACATATTTTTTGCATATACAATTAGTACCAAGCCCTAAGTATTCAGACTGGCAACTATACAACAAAGTACTCAGTATACCACAACTTTCCTTATAATGATTCAACAACCAATGTATTTATAGCTACTTGGTAGCAGATCTATATAGGTTTTAGGCCCCAAGATGCTCTCGCTACTTCTCCTGAGCTCCCACAGCCCTGATTTGATCTTGTAGCTTCTCTTCTAGGGAGATCCCAAAACAGGAGTTTGGCTCCTTTTTCGAAAGATAAAACAAAGAACCACCAAGGCACTCAGAACCAGGAATGAGAGCCAAGACTTTGAATTGGCCATTAAGATCCACTTCTTCCTGCTTATATCCCAGGACTTTGTTCTATCAACTGTTCAGCTGCTTTTATCTGCATACCGAATCCATTTGATGGACATTCTCTTGCTTGCAAACCTATTGACGCTTCCCAAACAGTTCCTTATTTACTAGCTTATTTTCTAAAATCTGCAATTGTGGAGGAGAAAAGAATCAATACAGATGAAAAGTTACTTCCTCAGATATAATTCCTAATAAAATTTTGGGAGACCGCTTCCTAGACACATCTACATATATGTAACATAATTTGCATTTTCATAACTAACCATACTTTCCATGTATCCTAACTTGCTCAATTTCAGTCAAGTGGTGCGAGCATCTCTTCATAGCAGTAAGACCAACATCACTTTTTTTGAAGAATCAGTTCCGTCTTCTGCCTCTATTTACCACAACCACTCAGTTATCTCCAGCACGACCTTTTCTGAAAACCACAACCAGTTTTCTAACCCTTAATTCAAGACCTCATTCTC